ATGCTTTCACTTTATACCTACTGTGTCTGCCTCTATGTATTCCCCCTTAACAAGGGAAAATCTGATAGAGGAATAGTCTAGACTTGTCTGCTTTCTTTAATTTCATTTGAAAAGACAGTGGGTGTCTGAACTGATGGCAAAATTTACTGCAGGCAATCAGAAAAGCTGACATGGCACTGCAAGTCCATTTTAAAGAATCACAGGTTGATATTTATACCACTAACTATAAAGTCTATAAAGACTTTCTGTTTTCCTAATGAAAGCTTGTGTGTGAGTTGCCCACCAATTTGAAGGCAAAGTTTGTGTGATTGAAGTTATTCATTCATTCCTAAGTATTTTTCTAGACCAGGCTTAGTTCTGTAGCTTTATTTCTCTTGAGCAGATAGCTCAGACTTGCTTAGGAAGGAGTGCTTAAATGTTGCCTGTTCCCTTGTTCCTGCTTTTGTGTGGTTTGGGTGGATTGCACAACCATTTTGTATGAAGCTCTTGTAGTGATAGTAGTACATTGAATTTCTCAGTTGGAAGGAAGGATAGGATTTGTCCCTCACCCAGGGAAATAGATTGAATTTACCTTGGATATATTCTTGTGGGGGAGATAGGATTAATCATGATGTATTTGTTGGAATAGTGACAGATGCTGTTAAAGACATGCAGCTTCCACTGCAATAATCTGCATGACATTTGGCACCTTTGAGCTTTGGGCTGTATAGGCACAGACATGGATGTATAGAGAGACACTCAGGGATCCAGTTAGGGTCTGTTACTGGCTGGTACAGTGGAGTGTATCTGTGACAGCCCTCTGAGGCCACTCAAAGCTGCTAGTGTAAATTCACTCTTACTTGGCCGTGGTTCAGGTTAGCCTGTCAGCCATCCATCAGACCAAAGGATTTAGGGGAAAATAGTTTCTAATCTCTGGAGTTGCAGCTCATGAAGGGATTATCAAGGATACATAAATTCCAGATGAGGAGGAACTCTGTGCTGTAAACCCCAACCATTACACATGTACAAACACCCCAGGAGTGTAAGCAAAGCAAGTACTGTGCAACAGCTTCCTCCAGCAGACAGCTCTTACCTTCACGATGTTGAAAATGTTTTCTGGCTCGATGGTCATGTTGGACAACTCAGACACCCACCCAAATCTCTCTTTCATTTTGTTCAACAAGTAGGAGGTGTCTTCTGTGTGACGCTGAACCACCTGGAGGATCTGCTTGTACTGCTCCCCAGAGAGGTTAACCAGTTTAAAGGCTTCATCAAACTTTATGTGCAGCTCAGGAACGTTTGGGCAATCTGTCAGAAAAGACAGCCAGCAGGGAGCTGACAGGGAAGTGATGTGTCCTGTCCTGCACCCTTCCCATCTGACGTACAGAAAACTGTAAAAAGGTCTAGGAAAGGGGTTCATGTTTAAATAATGTTAAAAAAAAAAAAAG